TGTGGTGGGAAATAGTGGGGCAGGGAGCACAGTCCTGAGCAGCCTGTCCCAGCTCTGTTGCAGGAGGTGGCTCAAGCCCTGGTCAGGCTCAGAAGTGTGAGCTGTGTTGGGGAGCAGAGCACTGGGCACACACTGGTCCTTGCTGATGCAGAACATGAGGCCAGTGAGCTGCAGCTCCATGGCCTCAAACCTCCCTAGAGCCTGGGAAGTAGGTGGGGAGGGTCTAACCTGGATATTGGCTCCTGCAGGTTTTGGCAGGGAGCCACCTCGCTCCACTCACAGCCATATCTGTGAGAGTCAACTGGAGCACCCCTGTGGCTGGCCTGGCTCTTGGCGTGTTGTGATGGGCTCTGTGCAGTCCCCAGGCAGTGGCTGAGCACCCTGAGGGTTTGCCTGGACCTGGGGGAACACCCCACACTGCTTGGGGTCCAGGCAAGGCAGAGCTAAGCCATTCCCCCAGTAGCAGTGCAGGTTTAAAGCTTTGGGAAATGCTGCCAGTGACAGAGAAACCCACAGCTCCCCTGCTCCGTGGCTTTTCTGTGTGTCTGGGAGACGGACCCAACCCCCAGCCCTCGCACTCCAGCTGAGGCTGCAGCTGGAGCCTCACAACACCAGCCTTTCCCAGGACATGGTGTTCCTTCTGGTGAAGAACACAGTTTGGGAGATTGCTCCCAGCTTCCTCTTAACCCATGGCCTCACTCCCCTTCCTTGATGGCATCTCCAGCAGCTGGCTCAGTGACAGCATGGAGGCAGGGCTGACCCTGCTTTCTAGTAAAGCCAAACCTCCTCCTGGCACTCATGGTCCCCCCAGGACTCACCCACTGCCACCCCATACTGTCCTCCACCCCAGGCCAGCCTCACCCCAAAACCACAACTCCCACAGCTCCCCTCCAGCCAGTTCATTCTCCCACTGAATAATTTTTTGAGGGGGGATTTCAGGGAATTTACTCCTCACCACGGATATTTTCCTTGGAGACAGCCCAGGGTAAATGGTCACATTCCTTGGCTAAACAAACAGGACCCTGGAAACTCCTGTCCCTGGGGACACCCAGCAGTGCCCTGCCCTTGACCCCAGCAGGGTCACCGTGCAGCCACAGCTGCAGAACAACCCCTGGCAGGAGGGATCCTCCTCCAGAGCTGCCTCTAGCAGCACCTTCCTTTACGGGACACACAGGAGAGGAGCGGGATCAGCCCGAGCAGCGCTGGGGGGGCACCCAGCGAACCCCAGCCCGGCCTCCCCGAGGCTGCTGCTGGGTTTGGTTCCTGCTCCTCGGGAGCCAGCGCCCCACTCGGGGAGAAATGTCACCCTGGCTGGGTGGCCTGAGCAGGATGGGACACATCTCCTCCCCCACCCCGTCACCTCCTTCCTCCCTTCCCCCGACATGTCTCCCCGCACCCTGCGGGTTTAATCCCTGCTCGGGTAACACGTTGCATAAACCCTCGGCACATGCCACTGCCCCGTGTCCCCCTGGGCGCCCCGGGTCCCCGCCAGGCCGTGGTGCCACCCCCGGGCGGTGTCTGTCCGTGTGTCCGTCCCAGAGCCCACACGGTTAACGCGGCCCGGCCCCCCCCCGGCCATTGGCTCCCCCCCCAGCAGCCCGCAGCTATTTCTCGGCCGCCGGGCTCCGAGGTGACAGCGGGCGACAGCGGCGCTTGTCCCGGCCGCTCGCCCCGGCCTGTCGGGGGGTGCTGGCACCCCGCACCCCGCAGCAGCCATGGGGGGCTGCTCCCGCAGCAGCTGGATTTTGCCCCTTTTGTTGGCTGGGCTCGTCCAGCTGGGGCGAAGCGAGGAGAAGGAGAAGGTAAGAGGAGGGGGACACCCCGGGGCGCTCAGGGGGGTTTAGGGGGTGTGCGGCACCCTGGGGACGCGCCTGTTCCCCAGGCTCTCTGCAGCGCTCCTCGGGGCACAGATGGGGCACGGCGGCTCTTTGAGCCCCTCTTCTTCCCTCTACAGTCCTGGTGCCGGGATCACGGGGAGATTTTCTGAGTTGGTTCTTGCCAAGGGCCAAGAATTTCTGTCCTGGGGTTGGGGACAAAGGGGGACAGAGCCATGTATCCCCCAGGTGACCTCCTCAGGGACAGAGCACGGGGACTTTTTCCCTGCAATGTCCGGGTGGGTTACCCCATGTCGGGAAGGTGTGGAACCCACCGTGTCCTCACAGCCCAGCGGGCAGGGGCACTGTCACCCCCCCAGCCAGGCTCCCCACCTTGTCACAGGGACGGACCCCACAGTCCCAGGAGCCTTCATTCCTCGAGAGCAGCCCCTGTGATTTCACCTCTTGCCAGCCCCCAAAATAGCCCCTCGGTGGCACTTGGCTGAGCCCGGCTACCCTAGCGGGGACAAGAGGTGGGCTCCTCTGGGTTAACCCCTGTGGCCCCGGATGCAGGGGCTGCTCCAGCCCGACCCTTCCCAGCCGTTCCCCATCCCACCGGCACCCCCTGCCTTGCCCTGTCCCCCAGGGCTGGTGGGTCCTGCTCACTTGCCCACAGCCTCGGGATTCTGGTGCTGGCCTCCCCCGTGCTTCAGCTGTTTTGCAGCCACTCGCTTTCCTGCTGCTCCCTGCTCGGTAAACATTCCCCCAGCTGCAGCCAGACCCCCGTGCATCCGCACGCCCCAGCCAGCCTGTCCCACCACCGCGACCTTGGCACGCTGGAGCGTGGCTGCTGCCAGCGGCATGCAGGGCAGGGGACACAAGGCTGGCAGCCGTCCCCATTGCCCTGCTGGCCGTGGGGACGGGAAGCGGGGTGGTCGGCAGCCCCCAGCCCGCTCCCACGGGATGCTGCTCACCCCACAGGTGGACTGCTACCAGTCGGTGAATGACACAATCTACAACTACGGAGCCCTGACCATCGATGGGGACGAGTATATCCCCTTCGAGAGGTACAAGGGGAAGACGGTGCTCTTCGTCAACGTAGCCACATACTGAGGACTGACACTGCAGTATGTTGGTAAGGGTCCTGCGGGGCACAGGCACCTCGGAGGCAGGGCAGGGCCCCATGGTCCATTCTACTTCGGGGAGCTGGGGAAAGGGTTAATGCCTGCTCCCCAGGGCCCGGCCTGACTGGAATTGTCCCAGATGCTAAGTGCAGGTGTGGAGATGTGTCCAGCTTACTGCTAACCCCCTTCTGGCTCTCCTTGCATGCAGAACTGAATGCACTACAAGATGAGCTGAGAAACCAGGGGCTTGTGGTCCTCGGCTTCCCCTCCAACCAATTTGGGAAGCAGGAACCCGGCCAGAACTCAGAGATCCTCCCTGCACTTAAGTGAGTACTGTGGTGGGGGCAGTGGGACACCTCACTCCCTTGGCTCTGCTGGGGTCCCAGCCAGGCAGTGGGAGCACAGGCTGCAGCTGCTGCTGGCTCTGGACCCACACAAGCGTTTTGGGGTCCTGTCACCACCCCTGTGCAAGCACCCAGAGCTGTCGAGCTGTCCATTGCACAACATCCTGTTCCCCTGCCTTGTAGGTATGTCCGGCCAGGAGGTGGCTTTGTTCCCAACTTCCAGCTGTTCCAGAAAGGGGATGTGAACGGGGCCAAGGAGCAGAAGATCTTCACCTTCCTGAAGGTGGGTGCTATGGCAAGGGGAGATGAGGGGGACAGACCCAGTTTGCTTTTTGGAGGGGCAAGGCAGTGATGCATTGGCTCCCCATTGCAGAACGCCTGTCCCCCGGTGGCGGAGGACTTTGGGAACCCCAACAGACTCTTCTGGGAGCCTCTGCGGAACCATGACATCAAGTGGAACTTCGAGAAGTTCCTGGTGAGCCCCGAGGGCGTGCCCATCATGCGCTGGTACCATCGCACCAACATCGCTGTCGTGAAGAAAAACATCATGACCTACCTGAGGCGGCGGCAGCAGGAGAACCACGATGAACAGCAGGACCAGTAGAGCCTCGGGCTGCTGGCATGAGGGCCAGCATCCCCCTGGCAGCTTCCCATTCCATCCCCTCCCCAGATGTTCCCCAGCAGCAGGAATCACTCCCTATTCCCTCCATTGCTCCTGTTTCCTGGCACCCCCAGTCAGGATGCTGGGCTGAGGATCTCATGGCAGAGATCTCAGTGATGCAGTAAATACTTCCAATATCCCTGTGTCCCTCCTCCACCCCTGGTGGTGACATCCCCTGGCCTCCAGCCTGCTCCCTCCTCTCCACCATCCCGGGCAGTGGGAGGATGCAGGGGCTGGCTGTCCCTGGAGGAGACCACATCTCCATGAAGGCTTGGCCCGAAAGCCCCCGGCTGGGGCGGGCCTGGCCTGACCGTGCCGAGCATGGAGCAGCTCTTCAGTGCATTCAGGCTGCCCGTGGTCCTGGCACACAGATGTGCTGCTCTCCTGGGCAGGGGTGGCCAACCCCTCACCAACCCACCATAGAGACACCAAATAAAGGCTCTGCAAATGTGCAGCCCCACGTGTTGGCCAGGGGTAGGGGAGGTAGAGTGGGGGGCACAGTGGCCAGCCTGGGGTTAGCAGCACCTGACTGGACTAACTCAAATTTTTTCCACAGTAAACTGCAGACATGGACTTACTATCATAGCCCAGAATTTGGGGACAGGATGGGGAGTGAGTGCAGAGCACAGGTGGGCAAAAGGGGCAGGAGGAGCATACTGGAATCCTGTGCCTCCTGCTGTCACACCTGTGACAGCCACGCTTACAGAACCTGGGTTGTGTTTGTTTTTTCCTCTCCAGACCTATTTCTTGGAGCAAGATTTGCTGTGTGCAATGTCAAAGACTGTCCCCAAGGCCACTGCTGCGTGGAAAGGCAGAGGGGGCAGCAGGGGCTTCCCTGCCCTGGCAGAGGTGGGGAACAGAAGAGGGGAGGCTGAGCGGCTGAGCTCAGCACACAGAGAGAGGTGGGGGCATGCACTTGGGGCAACAGATCCTGGGGTGCCCAAGCAAGGGTTGGGGCCCCCTTGCACCCAGTCTGTCTCCGAGCACATAGGGACCAACAGCCCTGGTACCCCTCCCCACACAGAGGCTGCCCAGAACAAAACCAGAGAGACTCAGCCACACTTCAGTCCTTAAATAAATACAAAGACACCAACCACCCTCAGGCCGGGCCACGGCTGCGGCCAGCACCTGCCTGCGAGTGTGGGGTCTCCCACCACCGGGAGAGTCCCCGCTGTTACCCACTCCTCCAGGGGCTCTGCACTGGGGCAGCTCCTGGGAAACACTGGCTCCTCTTCCCTGAAGACCTCGCTAGGTCTACAGCGCTGCCAGGCCAGGCCTGGCTCCTCGTGGGGAAGGCTGCAGGGCACTGACCCCATGCTGGCTGTCACCACAATGGCCCCTTCAGTCCCTCCTTCATGATATCCTTGGGGGAAGGCGCTGCTGAGCCCCCCACGTGCAGCACATGTCCTTGCACAGGCATTGGCGGCCGGAGGAAGCTCCTGGACACACACACACGGGCACACACACACACCCTACTCCTCTTCCACTGGTGTCGGAGCGTGGCCGGTCCTTGGCGTTAGGGCAATCCGGGACCTGCCTGTTCTGAGACACAAGAGAGGGGTGGCACAGGGTAAGCACAGTTCTTCATCCTCACACAAGCCCCACAAGAGGGATGCCAGCCATGACATGGCTGCTATCCCTGAGCACCCACTGCCAGAACTCCATGAGCTGTTTGGGCTCAGCCTGACTTTAGGTGCTGTGGGGATGCAGCAGGGAGAAACCCAATGGCAAAATCATCCCCTCAGCTGATTAGATGTGGGGGCTAAGGGAAAATGGCCGCTGCCTGGAAAGCTGGGCCCCCATCCCTCCCCCATGTGTTTAGTCTCAGGGTGAAGGATGGGCACTCCTGTCAGGGAGGGTCTGAGCCTTACCCAAGTCCTTGGTGACTGGTTTCACCCCGGCCACTGGTTGGGCGTTCTGGCTGCGAGCCATGGCACAGGGCGGGCGCCAGGGGTACTCAGGCTGTGGGAGGAGATGGAACAGAGACAGGGAATTACCTGGCATGTGAATCATGAGGCTGAACTCTGATTGACTGACAGTGTGTGAAGAGGAGGAGGAGGGGGAAGAAAGGGGCTGAGCAGTCACACGCCACCAGGACACGTGCTCAGCTCCCTGCTCTGGGACTCAGTGGCCCTGGAGGGCAGGGAGCCCCAGACCCTCCCACATGTCACCCTCTGCTCCCCCTCCTGCTGGCACAGGTGGAGTCTCACCGGGGGAAAGTGGTGGAAGTTCTGTCCTTGCGTGTGCTCGCCCGGCATGGCTGGCGGGTATCGGATCTGCTGCCACTCGTCGTAGCCGTGGTACATGGGGTGAGCCATGGGGGGGCTGTACTGGTACTGGTACATGGGGCAGGCTGGGCCCAGAGGCCCGGGCCCTGGTTCGGCGTGCAGCCTCTCTCCAGAAGCCTGCAAGGAGCCAGGACAGATGCTGGGGAGGTCCCAAGGGCAGTCCACCACCACCCCCGACCTGCAGCCCCCAGGCCCTCTGTCCAAACAGGGTTTCCTCCCACCCCTACCTGTTTGTGCTGTTTCAGCAGCTTCTTCAGCTTCTCCTTCTCCTCCTTCTCCCTCTGGCAATCGTCTTTGGAGGCTCGCAGCTGGGAGGAAGATGGGTTAGTGCAGAGCCCACCCTGCCACTCCCATCTTCATGAGTTAGGGTTGCTGAGGGAATGTTTCCCCCCATCAGACTCCCAGAAGAGGTGCAGAAAGATGAGTTGAATGAAAGGAGATGCTCTGGCAGTGACAAGCAGCAGAAAAAACACCCCTCTGGCCTTCCTGTTCTCATTCAGCCCCTACTCTTAGGTTTGTACAGGGACTGTGACACTGGGGGCGAGCATTTCTGAGACACATGAGGCTGACATGGGGCTCCCAGAGTGCTGCTAGTAGCACCCAGCACTGCTCACCTGGTTGTTGGAGAGGACCAACTGCTTCTGCAGCTTTTCCAGCTGCTGCTTCAGCTCTTCTTTCTCCTCATTCATCCTCTCCCTGTCACTCCGCTCCCGCTGGAAGTCTTCCTCAAAAATTTTCACCTGGTAGGAAGGAAGAATGTGGGTGCATCTGGCTGAGGGCAGACACCTCCCCATAGCAACCTCATCACTGTGCTGCTGTCCTTGACTCCACCAGCCATGCCAAGCCCCAGGCATGTGGGCTGTTTCCATGGCCCATGGCTGTAGTCCTTCCAGATGAATGCCTGGAGGATGCTGAGTTGGGTCCCCAACCCCCACGACCCCAGCACTGACCCCTGCTCAGCTGCTGGGCTGCTGCTGCCACACAGGGCTCTTTGCTGTGGAAATTCAGGACATTTATTTCCTTGCCCATCCCCAGTGGCTCCATGTCCTGCCCTACCTGCTGCTTGAGTAGCTCATTCTGGGTCAGCAGCTCCTGCTGTGGCAGCTTCCCTGCTGGCTCCATGGCAAAGATGGGTGGTGGAGAGGCTTGGACGTTCAGGGCCTCTTCTAGTGCCTAGAGAGGAAGAGGGAGCAGGCTCAGAGCAAGTTCAGTGCCCAAGATGTCACTGGAGGACCCTGGGCATGTGCCTAGCATGGGAAGTGGGTATAACTGGGCAGAGGAAAGAAGGAAAACAGACCCTCCTTGAACCTCCCTTCCTCGGAGCCCAGAGGAATGTGGTGGGCCTCATACCAGTGGTGGGCAGACACAAGTCTCTGCCTGAGCAAGAGTGGGTTATCAGGGTCAGTTTTGGATTTGAGAGAGACTAGAGAACATTGAAGACATTTGGCACTGAGGGGCTGTGCCCTGGCCCCCACCTTGTTCAGCCTCTGGATCTCCTTTTCCTGGTATTCCCGCTGCCTGGTGACTGGAGCCAGCTGCTCCTGCAGGAACCGCATCCTCTGCTGCAGGTCCCTCACCTCCATGGCCAGCCTCTCCTTCTCTGCCTGCAGGACCCAGGGTGGGAGGACATCAGCCAGGGCAGGGCAACAGGGCTGGCAGCTCCCTGACACCCTTCCCAAGGGACTTGCCTCCTCTGTTTCGATCCGGGACTTGGCCAGGAGCAGCTTGCGGTCAAAATCCCGTTGCTTTTGCTCCCGCTCCGACTCCAGCTCGGTCACTGCCCTGCGGGCCTCAGCCAGCTCCTGGTGTAGGTCTGTGACCTGCCAGGAGGGAGTGGGCACGTTGGCCTGGAAGGATCCACACTGGGGGAAAGGAGGCACAGGCAGCCCCCAAACCTCCCCACACCGTTTCCTCTGAGTCCCCACAGCCAGCACCCAGCCCTACCTTCTGCTCGTACTTCTGCTTCATGGAGCGGAAATGCTGATCCCATTGTTTATTCACCTCCAGCAGCTGCAGGGAGAGAGGGATGGCTGAACAGGAGCCCAAATCCTGCTACGAACCAGCTGCGGTGGTCCCCAGCAAACTCCTGTCATGAAAACTTTGGGGACCAGCTGGATGGAGATCCCAGCTCCAGCAGTGCTCCCCTGCAACTCAGAAGCCCTGCCCCAGTCTCTCGGTGCCATCCCAGCCCTGTGCCCATTCTGCCCACTCCCCGCCTCCTTAGTGGTGCCTCCCTCCCAGCCTGGTCCTCACCTCCCTGCGCTGGTGCTCCAGGATCTTCACCTTCTTTTCCTTGGCCTCCAGCTCTTCTCTGCCCGGCGCCTTCTCCACCATGGCCCCGCTCTGCTGGACGCGCACGGGGGGGACCCTCAGGGCTTTTGTGGAGGCTGTGCCCAAGGCCGGCTAAACTCGAGCCAGTTCCCCTCCCACTGCCTCCCCCATCCCCTTGAGACCCTGAGAAGTCCTGCTGGTCATACTGAGACAAACTGGGGGCTTGATTAAAATGAGGCCATCTTTGCTGATGTGTCAGCGGGCTCCCTGCCTCCTTCCCAGCCCTCTCCAAAGAGATGCTGCCTCCTCACCTGCTGCTGCTCAGCAGCTTCCCTCTTCCCACTGTCCTGGCTGCTCAGCGTCACCATCCTCCGGAGCTCCTGGTTCTCACACCTGTGGGGAGGAAGAGATGGGTCAGCAGGAAGGTGCTTCCAGAGCAGCCCTGTTCCCATCCACATAGCCCACCCTCACCTGAGCTTCTCCAGAGCCTGGTTTCTCTGCTCCAGGTCATGCTCCAGCTTGGTGCGCAGCTCCTTGTTCTCACTGTGCAGCGTCTCACACAACGTCTGGAGGGTGAACACTGGCAGTGTGAGGACCATGGCCAGCCCTGGGCCACCCACACCTCCCACCAAGCCACGCTAATGAGGTGGGTGTCCACCTCAGGGTGGGCAGGAGGGGTTTGGTGGGAAAAAACACCAGGGGGAAAATCTCCATGAAGTGCCAGGCCAGGCCTCGCTCACCTGCAGGAACGACGTTCTCTGCTCATTCTTGTGCACCTTGGAGGCCAAGCGCTTGAGCTCGGAGGCCATGTAGCCCATGCGCACAAAGACCTGATCCTTGCTGGCCTCCTTGGCACAGCCACTCAGCGTGTTCTCCAGCTGCTGCAGCTGGGGCAGCAGGTTGGCATCCTCGTTCGGTGGCTGCTCCAAGTCCTGGGAATGGGGAGGGGATCAAGTGTGGTCAGACCAGTTAAAGGAGCATCGCGAAGTTCCTCTTAGGGCAGATCAACTTCATGTCCCATCCAGGGCTGTGGTGGGGAGCTGGGCCAGCACCAAGACACTCTGCAGCACCTCTCAGTATGCTGAAAAACTGTGTCAGCTTTGTAAAGCTGATTCCCAGCTGCTGGATACGGCACACTGAGTCCCCAGGTGGAGGAGGACATGGCAGCAGCTCACACATTCCCTGTGCCCCTTGGCAGCCTGAGCAGAACACTCTCAAATCGCTGACAGCAATGGAGCCATCTCCACCCTTGGTCTCCTCCACCTGAGCTCTTCCCATCTGCACCAAGACCAAAAATCCCAGCTCCTGAGACTGTCCTCTCTATGATTCCCAGCTGCTGGATACGGCACACTGAGTCCCCAGGTGGAGGAGGACATGGCAGCAGCTCACGCATTCCCTGTGCCCCTTGGCAGCCTGAGCAGAACACACTCTCAAATCGCTGACAGCAATGGAGCCATCTCCACCCTTGGTCTCCTCCACCTGAGCTCTTCCCATCTGCACCAAGACCAAAAATCCCAGCTCCTGAGACTGTCCTCTCTGTGACATACACCCTGGTCTGTGCTGGAAAGCGTGGTGGTCTTACCCCAACTCCCATGTTCTCCTTCCACCTGTCCTACTTCTGTGCTTCCTGCTGCTGTGGCATGCCAGGCACCAGGAACCCAAGCCCTTTGGCAGGTGACAGCCAAGTGGGTGATGCATGGATTTAAACAGCGTCTGGGAAAGCCCAGGTCACACCCACCAGTGTCAGGGTGTACTCTGCCCAAGGGGAGTGTCCCCAGGAGGTTTATGTTCCTCTGGTGTGGCTGGTTAACTCCTCCATAGCCTAGGAGGTGCTGCTAGCACAACAGCTGGCACACATGGCACTGCTGGGAGGAGCTGGGGATGTGCTGGCACACCTATACCTGCTTCACTCCCAGCCCCGCTGACTCACCTGCAGCCTTGTGGGAATGCCCCAGATTGCACCACAGGGCAGCCCAGTGTGTCCCCAGCACCCTGACCCCAGAGTTTACAGCTCCAAACCTGCTGTGGGAGGGTGTGTGTGGGGCACAGCACAGCCAGCTCCTCCCACCTGTGTCTGCTGGCAAGGGGGGCAGTGAGGACGGACCCAAGCTGGGAGAATTCGGCTGGGAGCCCATGACTTGGACTCGGCTCAGGCACCAGCAGCTGGTGGCCAAGCAGATCCCATTCTGTTCTCCATCACCTCACAGCTGCAACCCAGGAGCGTCCAGTAAGACCCAACCTCTCCAAGAGTCTCTCTGGGCAACGAGAACACGATGTGCAATGAGAGCATGTCCTCTTACTCGTGCCAGCCGACGTTCATTCCCCTTGGGCTCCTCGTACTTTCTCCCCTCCATTCCAGCACACAAAAAACCAGAGCAGGACAGGATGGGGCAATGACAGTCAGGAGGGCATTCAGGTGGTAGCAAATGGAGTACATAGAGCTTTGGCTAGGGCAGACCCTGTCAGCAATGACAGGGCTTGGAGGCCTGGTCCTCCCACCCAGTATGGGCACCAGCTGAACATCAGAGCATCATCACCGACAGCTACCTGGGTTGTCACAGCTCTTCCTGTCACGGTCATGTGGCATCTGCAGACACTGGTGTCCCCATATGGCTGGGGCTGCTTCACTGGCCCCTCACCCAGGCCCAGCCAGGCCAGTTGTGTTTGCGGGAGGACCCTTGCCCAGTTTATCCCTCCTCTGTGCTTTGACTAAGGGCTTCCTTGACATGGGTCAGCCAGCCCTGTTGGTGCCTGCCTGGGCACAGAGCTGAAGCCCTGCACATCCCCAAACCCCTGACACTGCCTCAACTCCCTACCCGCCAACATCAAATCCTGCAGGCACCAGGGCCACTCACTGCTCTCCTGCCCTCCTGGGGAAACCCCTGTGCTTGGATGGCAACAATCTCAAACTCTGAGGAGGATCCCTGCAAGGGGAGGCAGCCAGGTCAGAGCTCCCCAGGAAATGGCAGCCCAAGATGCCCAGCACACAAAGAGAGGGACTGCCAGGAGTACAGCAGGGGAGCTGACCCCTCCTTTCAGGTTCATCCCTGTTTCTAGAGGCTAAAGGCTTCCTCTTTTTGCTTTAATTAGATGGACAGTGCCTCGCCCTCCAGCCATGCCAGCACCAGCTTCCACACTCAGCAGACTCACACTGGGAGGTGATTTCCGTGCTTCCACGTCCGGCTGGGCACTGCCCGGGGCTGCCCGTGCGAAGCTGGGATCAGGGCCGACGGCTGCGGAGAGGGGAGAGGATGCAGCCATGAGCCTTTTGGAGAGCAGGGCCTCTCTCCACCCGGCACAGGGATGCAGACAGCAGACCCCTGCAAGGTCAGGCACTGGTGGATGATTTCTACCCCACCTATTGGGATGGGACAGAAACCTCCTTTAAGAAGGGAGGATGGCAGTGGTTTGATACACTGCAGAGATTACATGGCTGCAGGGGACCTTCATTAAAGTGTCTTGCACAGCCTTTCCCTTCCCCCAAGATCAGGATTCTGAGCCATCGGGTTATTCCTCCCCCCATGAGTCTCCTACCTCCAGTTTCCACCAACTCCTCCAAGGAAGATGATCCAATCAGCATTTTATTGTCCTTCACAAGGTCCTCTGCCTTCTGCCGCAGCTTGGATGCCTCGACCTGGGACTCCTCCAGAAGCTCTCCTGTTGTGTGCAATAGAAGAATGCTCAGCCTCCTTCCCCCAGGGCCTGTCCTGTATTAGCTCTATCCACCAGCACCAAAAACCCCATCTGGCTGGAAGCAGTACCCAGAATAGTCCTCCTTCATCTGGAAACAACTATTCTGGGATAAATCCAATGGCAAAGCTGGATCAGCGGCTCACTGGTTTCAGAGATCCTCATGCTGACACAGAGAGGACTGGTTACAGGAGACAGAAGGCACCACAGTGGCTCTCCTCTGCTTCCAAGAAGAGAAAATTTAGGCCTGGGTGGTGGACTAACAGATCCAACCTCCCCACTTTGAGGTCTGCCATGAACAATGCAATCCTCCCCTGATGAGGGGGGGCTGCTGTCACACCAGTGAGTCCCTGTCCCAGGTAAGGGCATGGTGACACAATGGGAATCACGAGGCAGGTGGAAATTTGGCTGCAGAAGCAGGACTCAAAGGAGGAAGCTGGCTCACGAGACAGAAAGCAAAACTGGGGGTGGGAGCGGGGGAAGGCTGACAAGGAGAAGAAAGAAGGTGGCACAACTCAGCTGGAACATTTCAACACTGGCATGTTCCTGCTGCCGCAGGGAACACTCAACATCGGGTTCCTTCAGAAACACCTGGGAAAAGCCCCTGCCCCAACAGGGCTTGCAGGAGGTGGGGATTTTCATCAAAAGCAGAACTGGTCCCAGCACCCATGAACTCCAAGGAGTTGTCTTTTTTTTTCCAGCCAAGCACTTGTCTTTTCTTTCCAGCCATTTATTCCATCACAAAACACCCCAGAAGTTCAGCAAAATTCTTGCTCCCTCTGCATCGCCATGTGAAAAAGCTCAGACATCCCGCTCAACCCTCCAGGACAGGGAGAGCTTTGCTGCTGCCCCAGTGCCAAGACCCCCAGCTTCTACAAGCACCCTTCCTCAACCAAGCAAGCAACCCCTGGCTTTGTGGGCACAGGCTGGGCTGCCCCAAAGGCAAATCTCATCACCCTGGCACGCAGCAGTTACCGATAGACTTGATCCCTTGCATCTTCTCCTTCAGCCGGGCGTTCTCCTCCACCAGCCGCTCCAAGGCCGTGGATCCATTCTCCTCTGAGCCCCCACCAGGGTCATAGATATGATAGGGTCCTCTCCCTTCCATGCCTGCTGTTCAGTCACCTACCTCCCAGCCAGGCATCCCTGCAAGGCAATGGAGCACGGTGTCACCTTTCTCTAGCTCCAGATGGTGCCACAGTCCCCTGGCCCCAACCATACGGGGGTCTTGGGTGCTGTGCTGGTGCCTCACTGCTCCCCAGCCAGCCAACAAGTGACCCAGGTGAAGGTACTTCCCCCTCCAGCCCTGCTTGGGGCAAACGTGTCGGGGTGACTCATGGCCATGAGAACTGTCACACGAGCAGGCATCACCAGCAGCCCCACTTGGGGCTGGCTCTCACCCATGCAGGGCACTGGAGTCACAGAGAAGGCTGCAACCCCTGTTTGCTGCATGTCAGGAGAGATGGAGATGCAGCTCAGGAGCATTCACCCACACCAGAACAAACCTGGGCACTGTCACCAGGGAATCTGCTCAACACATGGCATTTCTGGGGTGCATGAAGGCTTGTCAGGAGAGGGGCAGCATCTGCAACTCCAAAAACTTTAGCCAGCAGCTGGGGGGAGGTTTGGGCAGTATTGGGGGATGAGCCCCAGGAGCCAGGCAGTGATCTACTCTGTCCTCCTGCTCAGCCAGAAAAACTGGCAGCATGGCAAACGTGTCGGGGTGACTCATGGCCATGAGAACTGTCACACGAGCAGGCATCACCAGCAGCCCCACTTGGGGCTGGCTCTCACCCATGCAGGGCACTGGAGTCACAGAGAAGGCTGCAACCCCTGTTTGCTGCATGTCAGGAGAGATGGAGATGCAGCTCAGGAGCATTCACCCACACCAGAACAAACCTGGGCACTGTCACCAGGGAATCTGCTCAACACATGGCATTTCTGGGGTGCATGAAGGCTTGTCAGGAGAGGGGCAGCATCTGCAACTCCAAAAACTTTAATCAGCAGCTGGGGGGAGGTTTGGGCAGTATTGGGGGATGAGCCCCAGGAGCCAGGCAGTGACCTACTCTGTCCTCCTGCTCAGCCAGAAAAACTGGCTGCCAGCAGCATGGCTTCCTGAATCGGGCACAGGAAACATCTGGGCATGTGCCGGGCTGGGAGCAAAGCCCAAGAAGACAAAAGACCCACAAGCAGGATGCTAATTGCTTTTCCAATCCCTTGCACTTGTGGGTGGTCTAAGGCCTCCCCCTTGCTGAAGTCTGGCCTGGGGACAGCTGGGGCAGGATCCTGGCTCCAGGTCTCACCCATCTCCTGGGGGGATAAAGCAGCAGCTGGGAATCACAGCACAGCTTATCAGAACTATGCCCCCTGATGCCAGCTTGTCAGGACATGGAGCAGAGCAGCAGCTGAGAAGGTCCTGGTGCCAGCTGAAGCTGGGATGTTGCCTGGGGGCACAACAGGAGCACCCCAAAGTGCTCTTCTCCCAGCCAAGACAGCTGGTGGGCAGGAGAGGGCTGAGAGGAGGCATTTAGAAAGGGGAAGGGATAGCCTGTACCCGAAACTGTCTCAACCTCAGACTAATGCTCATGCCATGAGTGATCCAGGCTGATCTCCAGTTTGGATGACCTGCCTCCCAGGGAGCGGCAGGGACTTTCCAGATGACAGCTGTCACCTGGCAGCATCCACAACTGGAACAGCAATTAATGCCTGCCTCAGCGACAGGGAATTAGCCCTGGCCTCAGCAGCACTCGCTTCTGGGAGAAGCATTGGTGCCTCTCATCAAACTCCTGCTCCGTGGGTGCTGCCAAGCCCTCCATTGTCTCTGGCCCCTTTATGGGGAGGCAGTGACCCCATCCCAAGCAGCTGGAAGTGCCACGGGGAGCTGCCCAGCTGTGGTGGTGTGGGGTGAGCTGAGGAGAGGCTATTCCTGGAGCCCAGAGCGGCTGACAGGAAGCTGTGGAAGAACCAGGGCCATTTCTGAGCTGTGGTTCCCAGTGATGGCAGCACTGTCAGAGCCTTAAACAGAGGGCAGGTTTGGATTAGGTATTAGGGACACATTCTTTACTGTGAGGGGGTAAGGCACCAAAACAGGCTGCCCAGAGCAGCCGTGAGCCCCATTTATAGAAGTGATCAAGGCCAGGCTGGTTAAGTCCAGCACGTTGCCCAGTGGGACCCTCATGTCTGGGAAATGCCATCACCTGTGCCCACACTACCTGCCTGGCCAGCCTGGCAGAGGATGGGGACAGTGTCACAGGCTGGCTGGGGACCCGAGCCTGCTTCTCGCTGCTCTTCCATCACCACATCCTGCTCCAGACCTGGGGCTCTGGGAGGAGCTGGGTACCAAACCCACCCTGCAGTGACCATCTTGTGGGGCACCTGCATCCTGCACAGGTATGAGCCCAGGTGTGTGTCAGGGAAGGTAGGAAGAGGAGGAAGAAGAGGGAAGAGCTGCCCTCTCCTGCGGTACCATCTCCCCATGTGGCTTGGAAGCAGCCTGGAATACCAGTCCTCATCTCTTAATGCCAGACCCCAAGGCTGGAGGTTTTCTGCCTTGTCCCATAGCACATGGGAGGTACCTGTCCCCTGTGCCCCCTGGCAGGAATTCCTCAGAGTCCAACTGCACTGACCACCCTGCCAAACAGCAGAGCTCACTCACAGTGATCCCATATTCTCCCAGCTGGATGGAGCCACTGCAAGCCTCTGATATTCTCTGTTCTCAAGATTCTATCAAGAACTTTTCTACTCAAGGTCTGTACCCTACCAGGGAGATTGCAGCAAAGGGACCACAGGAGCTGTTTTCAAACAACAGCTGCAGAGAGGAACTGGACTATCTCCAGCTGACTGAAGCACAGACCAGCCACAAATTCACCAGCAAACAATAGCCAGCAAGAGGGAGGGGTTTCCACAGCATTCCAGGCCATCTCTGGGGACAGGGTGGGTTTTCCTGGAGTGGAGGCATAGTCCAATTTCTGCAAGGTGCTGCTGAAACAGAGAGATCACCCTGAGACCAAGTCACTGATCCCAGTCTTGGCTTGTTGTGTTTTTTTTCTTTACGAGTTCTGACAGGTGAGATTTACAGTGAAAAATCTCATTTCAATAAAAACAAGAGCAGAGGAGAGAGGGGACCATACACCAGCACCTAGCAGTGGTTAGATACGCCAAGAAAACACGACTACCACAAACTCAGCAGAAACCACCAAACCACCAGATAACACTTCCCTCTGCGCCAGTCAACAGTTCCTAAAGTGATGTGACAATATTTCACAGCCCTGGGGCCTGAGGGCCAGGCTTAGACCGTGGCTGCCCAGCTGCAGCTCACTGGCTCCATGCCCAGCCGTTGTCAGAGATTGCCAGACGGGCACCTGTGGGTGTTGCTGGTTCCATGCGGGACACCAAGACCTTTAGGTAGCAAATTTTTATGGCAATTCAACAAAAGCAGAGAATTAGAGTGTGAGTGGGCAGAGGAGACTCATGGGCAAAGATGAAAGCAGAGTGGTGTTTAAATAGCTGTGCTGTGGCTTGGGAGTGAGCTGGAGCTGTCACTGCTGTCATCCAGAACAGCACGCAGCACTGCCACAGCCATCACTGCACCAGCCATGCAGAAGTGGCAGAAAGATGTGATTCCTACTTTAAAATTACTGAACACTGAAGATACCAAGGCTTAGGATGAGAAGCCTGTGCAGGAGGGGGCTGGCACTGCTGGGGGTTTGCTTTGGGCAGTGACCCCAGGGTGGGGAGCAGCCTCCCAGAGCTTGGCAGCCCTTCAATTCCCATCCTGTGATGGGAACCCCCTAAGGAGAAGGGGTTTTTCCTTACTCCAGTGCACAACATTCACAGGAAGCCTCCTCCGCAGCAGGATCACAGGAGGTGAAAGCAAATCCCTGCAGGCTGCCAGCTTAATTTTCCCATGACTGGGGCTGCTGGGTCCCCAGCATGCCTCCTCAGGGGGAAAGCAAAAGCCACTCAGACCCCATGGAATGATTTTTTTGTTTGTTTGTTTCATCATTTTACTGGAAAACACCGTAGCCCCCAGACTGGTTTTCTTCTACAGCAGCTTCCCAGACAAGGGAAAACCATTGCTACGCTGCTGGACTGGTCTCATTTGCAGGAAAGCAAAAGTAGAGTTTGCCTTAGAAGGCAGCAATAATGAGACTTTTTGGGCACTGCAGTCCACTGGGCTGGGAGTAATAAAAGAAGAGGAAAGCAGGTATTGCAAGGCTCAGGTCTCAAAGGCAAAGGTCTGAACCTCCACTTGCAGTGTGCTCCTTTCCAGCCAGTTTAGCCACAAAGAGAGGGCAGGAAAGGCAAGAGCCCTCCCCAAAACACAGCAGGTATGAAAGACATCCCCCAGCCAGAAATCCCATTCTTGCCTCAAAAACCCACCTTCCAAAGAGGCTTCATGAAACAACCTGCTTCTGATGAGGCTGCTCACAAAGAAAATAAACATTTCCCTGGGTCTGCCAGGTTTACAAACACAGCTAACCACACACAGCTGCAGAGCTCCTCGGGATGGGCACAAGCTTCAATGCAGGCAAGACATGCAGCCAGGCATGGTGGTGGTGCTCTCCTGGCAGCATGGGGTGGGGGGATTTATGCAAGACCCTGTCTCCTGCTGCAAAGACATCTGGCTCATCCTGCCTGCTCTACTTCTCCCTGCAGAGCTCAGCAGCATCATGGCTGCTTGTCACAGCACTCCAAAGCAGAAAAAGGCACAGCCACCCCTTCCCTTGTAGCCTTTTCCTTGCTTCCCAGCTACTCCTGTCCAGCTTGGTGTGCCTCAGCTGGCAACAATCATGCTGACAGGCGACAGCAGATAGTGACACCACAAAGCTACACCAGCAAAGTGCCACCCAAAGTGCAAGAACTGCCGCTTTAAAACAAAACCTGCAATGCCACAAGAGTGGATGGTTCGGTTTCCTCCACCCACGAGAGTTTTGTACCAGCTGCTGGCAAGCAACAACCCACGGCCCTGTGCTAAATAGGTCTGCCTGGCGTAGGTCGGGCTGAAAGGGCGTCGTGGGATTTCTTGCAGAACCAGGAATGGTGCCAAAGGCAGCAAAAAGCCTCTCCTGTTTTCTTCTTGCTTACTTCACCTCACCACAGAAACAGCTCTCAAGGACGTGCCTAGTTGGAGCCTTCCTGTCTCCAGAATTCACCCCGGTGCCCAAAGTCCAATCTCCGGAACGCTTCAGCTGACAGCGCTCTCCATGAAATGTGCACTCCAAAAGAGCTTGTGGCAGCAGAACAGCTCCCATTCCCCCAGGTGGTGGGAATAACCCACCCAAGTGATGGGAATAACCTGCTCCAGGGAAAAGGCTGCCTTTGACTTCTTGATACAGGGGGCAACCTGTGTGCCAGGGACACAGGAACAGGACAGCCAGATCTCTGAGAGGATGCAGAGCCCCTTGAGTCCCATCTGGAGCTACTCTCACCCAAAAGCAGCAGTGGCAGGCAGGATATTTTATGGGTTTTTTTCCTCTCTGCTCTCTGTGAGGGTCTTGAATGGAACTGAGGCAGTGGAAATGGGGGGACAAGCTGTGCCCCACTCCCAACAGAGGAGGATGCTGCCACCCCTGCTCCAGCTGTTCCAACCTCTGGATCAGCATCCCATGTGGACACACACGGTTGGACCAGAGGGGAAAAGCCAAAGGGAAAGGAAAACAGCAGGGACAGGAGGGTCCTTGAGGCCATGGCGGCCGCAGCCCCCCGGGAGGGGGCCCACGAACCGGCCGTGCCCGGGGGGATCGCCAGCCAGGGCCAGCCGGGAGGCAGATGCGTGGGGCCGGGGAAACGCCGGGCTTGTGCAAGGCGGGGCGAGGGAGGAGCGGGGCCGGCAGCGCTGCGGGGCCGCCCCGGGGCACCGGCACCCCCCGCCGAGCCTCCTCCTGTTCCCCGGGCACCGCCGAGAACACAGACACCCCGCCTGTGCCCCGCGGGAGCGGCGGCAGCCCCCGCCCTGGCCGCGAGAGGGAAACTGAGGCACGGCACGATTATCGCGACAGCCCGCGACACCGGGCGGCTCCGGAACAAATCCCCGGGGGACGGCGCGGCGCCGGCCGCCTCAGGGGTCTCACCCCGACCACCCTAGCGGCCCGAGAACCGGCCAGATAAGGGCAACGCGCAGCCCCGGTCCCGGCAGCCCCCTCCGGGCCGGGCCCCTTCGCCGGGGCGGCGCGACCCCGGTGCCCGGGAAGACCCCGGTGTCCCGGGCAGGGCTCCTGTCCGCGAGGGCGGCAGGGCCCCGCAGCGCTCCGAGCTCACCTACCGTGCCCCCCGCGGCGGGGCCGCCGCCCGGATGGCGATGGGGTCGGGATCGGGGTCGGGGGTCTCGCTCCGGGTCCCTCCGCTCCGCCACAGCACCGGGGCTGGTTCCGCCCCCGGGAAATTCCCAGCCTGACGGGCAGGCGGCGCAGCCAATCGGCGCGCGGCGGGGGCTATAAAAGGGAGGGCGGGGAGCTGGTGGGGACGGCGCCCCTCATGGCGGAGCCGTTGTGTCTGTGTCCTGTGGGTTCCCTGGGGCTGTATGGCGGTCCCGCCCGGCTTAGTGGGGCTTTGAGGGGCGGTATCAGCCGGCCTGCGCCTTCTTCCTGTGGGAGGTTGCGCTCGTAGGGGAGCGGCGAGGCTGAGCCCTGTAGCGGCTCCCCCGGCTTGTGCAGACACAAAATGGCGGGGCCGAGGGGGGCTCCCCGTGTACCCCCTCAGTGGCTGAGGGGAGGCTGTGCTGGAGCGCTCTGATGGCCCCGGGAAGGAGGAGGGTGCTGCTGCTGCCGGCTGGCCGAGGCTGACGTTGCTCTGAGGCACAGAGAATTCCCCACCGAGCCTCCAAGTTAATTTCAAATGAGGGAATTCCACCGTCTGAGCGCAGCGTGTATTCCAGGGATCCTTTTTCTCTGTGCTGCTGCTGCAGTTGTGCCGTGGTGGAGAACCGAAATCAGCCAGAGGAGCACCAAGCACAGGGGACATCTGGGTTCACCCTGCTCTTTGGGACTCGCTCAAGAGCTACCTGATTTCTTTCTTCTGTTGGTTTTGCCACAAGGAGAAGGTGGTGGGTTTTTATTAAATATATGTGTAAATAAAAGCAATGAACCAGGAGTGAAGAAATCCCGCTGTAAGCAGCTGTGCTGCTCTTTGCCTGTACTCCAGACGTGTCCTCCTTAGGTGACTGGTGCTGGGCTCATCAAGGACCTTCACTGGAGATCGAGCTGTTTCCAGCCACCCCAGTCCTGTTTTTTTACTCAGCAGTATTCACACAGCTCCACCACTTCTTGGGAATTTGATGTTTTGGGTCATAAAAATTAAAACCCCAGAAATTCTTTTTCCTGACTGCCTTTCATTGGCAGTAGAACGGCAGCCTGGCAGCCTGGCTGGGTTATGAGAGCTCAGCCCTGATGGGGCCCTGATGCTCTCTTTGTGCTCGTGTCTGAAGTCTCAGCTGGGGATGAGAGAGCAAGACCCCACACATGCCCAGCATCCTCCCTTTTGTTCCCTGAAAGTTTTATTTTACCCCAATGAGAGGCCCAGTGCTGTTCTATAAACCCTCAGAAAACCTGTCTTCAAAGCTAAATACAGTCCCACAAAACCAGAAAACACCTTGTTTATAAATTAATGACTCAACCTGCATGAAATAACAAAACCTTGCTTATTTCTTCTAGGAGCAAAAGGGGTGGCTGGGTTTTGCAGCACCCCAAAGGCTGCCTGCCTTCCCCTCACTCCATCACGGGAACTCGAAAAAATCATTGTGTTACTCACCGGGCTGGGTCCTGGAGGGGCTGGGGGGAGGGAGGGAGAGCCCTTCAGAGCAGGAGCTCTGTGCCTGCGATCCCCAAATGCAGGAAGGCTGGCCCAGCTGAGCTTACTTTTAGGCATGGAGAAGGGGAATTCCCCATGATGGAGGTCCCAGACAGCCTCTGTGTGGTTTTGATAGGGAGCCAGGCACCACTTAAAGGGCTCTCCTGTGCTGTTCCTCCCAGGGGCCTTTCGTGTCAGGTATTAGTCAGCAAAAAGTGGGGGGGGAAGCTGTCGTAGAGGCTGTGATTCACTTTTGGACAACTGGAGAGCCTCGTTACATCATTTTCCTTGCCTGGTTTCTGGGCAACTTCACTGGGATTGCAAATGTGCTTTTCCTCAGAGAAACTGCTGCATCTGGCAAGGGGCATTGTTGTTCCACGTGTATTTCCATCGCACCCTTGTCCCTGTCTGGAGACAGAACAGGATGCATCTTCCTTGGGGAACAGGGAAGAGCTGGGTCTGTTGATGGAGGTGCACAGGTGATGGTTTTCCTGGGTTGCAGAGAATCCTTGGAAACCATCCACCAGGAGAACTGGCGATCCGAACCAAGGCTGGAGCCAGCTGGTGCTGGAATAAACACCAAAGCTTTAAATGTTTCTATTTTATGGAGGCTGATTCCAGCTCCCCAGTTCCTTGCCAGCAGGTACATTGTACCTGGCAGGGCGTTTGGTCTACACTTGCCAGGTATGAACTGCAAGGCCTGAAGAGGGCTCAGCTTTAGTCCATCTGGTTTGGGTGGCAGGAGTGTCAGTGCTGGGCAGGAGGGTGAGGAGCTGTGGGTCTGGGGTCTGCCTGGGAGCCTGTGCATGGCACAGCCTCACTTTGTGCCTCTCCGCCTTTCTAGCCAGCTGCTCTTTGTATTTTTACCTGAGGTTGCCAGCTCAGGCTAGCCCAAACACCAGCATGAATTTCACTTTGAAAATGAAAGGCTTTTGGTCTTGCTGGTCCTTCCTCATTCCTTTGGTCCCACCATGCTCCCAGGGGAGAAGACTCCCCTGATGGCAGCTGTGGTTTATGAGCACGCCGGTGTGGCTGTGAGGGTGTGTGCACAGCTGACATGTTGACACATTAGGGGTTTTTTTTTTTGGTACGGAGACTTGGGTTCAGCGCCTTCAGTTGCAGCTTACTGATGTGAACATGCCCTGATTGCTGCCGGGCTGTGGGAAACAGGCTGAGAAGGAGCACAGGCTGCGGATTCGGGGTGGTGGAACTCCCCTGTCCTCACATCCTGCTTGTCTCAGATCAAGTCTGGCTTCCTTCAACTTGATCCCGCTCCAGAGTGAGCAGGGTGGGCCCAGTGATGTGAATTCAAAGTGCCATTGGCCCAACAGCTCTTATTGCCCAAAAAATCCCCCTGCCCTCTGCTGCTGGGCAAACAGAGCTCACCTGAACCCTGCTGGGGCGATGGGGCCAGGCGGGACCTGGCTGTCATGGGTGGCTGTGCCTGGAGCAAGGCGGGAGCAAGGCAGGAGCAGAGCAGGCAGTGGATGCAGCTGGTTTGGCCCAACATTCCAGGGCCACTGTGGGCTCAGCTCTGCAGGGGGCTGCCCAGGGATCCCTCTCGGCATCAGCAGCTGGGAGCTGCTGTTTGTGCAGTGCTGGTGGGATGTGTCCCGGTGCTCCGGCAGCGAAAGGAAGCAGGAGGCCGACAGTGACGCTGTGCGAGTGGGGAGGAAGCTCTGGCTGCAGGAGGGGATTTCCAGAACATTGTGATCTGCTGCTTATGCAAATCAGAAACTCAAATTAACCTGGCAGGATGGGAGGGCTCTGGGATGGAGGGCAAGGGAGAGGCAGGGGAGGGAGCCTGGGATAGTTGGCTGCTGGGAGGACAGAATGGAGCGTGGAAGGGATCAAGATAGGAGAGAAGGGACGTATTGTGGAACATTCCTGCTCCACCAAGCCTCTGAAATACCCTGCCTTCACAGGGGGCTGGATCACACCCTGGCTTTCCAGGGATGCTGGGCTGCTTTACCATCTCACTGAATGAGGGCTCCCTTCTTCCTCTGCCTCTGGCATGTGAGGCCAGACTCAGTGTCACCCATTTCACAGCAGATCACCACCTCCTGCCATCCTCTCCCTCCTCCAAAGGCAGCAGGGATGGGTTGTGGTGAGACCTGGTGCAGTCTCATAGTGGGGCCAAAAAACTGTGGGAACCAGGTCTGGGATTGCTCAGAGGATTTCCTTCCATGACTTAAGCTTTGAATAATTTGGAATCTCATCGTACAAAACCAGCAAAAGGCACATAGGGGGTTTTCCCCTCTTCCTCTCTCCGTGGGCCGTGTCTCATCCTTGCAATGCCTGAGAACAGGGCTCAGCAGCAGTCATCATGTCCTGTAGAGCTGCCCCAGAGATATGGGAACCGTCCTGGAGAGCTCAGCAGTTTGCCCAGCCCAGCTCACCACCTCCCAAGGCTGAAGGCTGGGTTTCTCCTTTCAGAGGAAGGGGAGAATGGCAGGTGGTATGGAAGCGGCTTGCATTGTGTTGGGGATTTAGGCCAGCATCCCATCTGCCTCTGTGGCTCCTCCTCTCCAGGGGCTGGCAGCAAAGAGGATCTGCAGTGGCTGACTCAGAGCAGAGGTCCGGCCCTCTCTGGGGCTTGTGGGGTTTTCTGGATGTTGCAACCTGTGAAATCTGGCCTTGGCTTTGCCTGGAAGCAAGCCCTTGCCCCCGACATTGCTGGTCAATGTGCAAAGTGTAAATCCCAGACTCCTCCCTGCAGTACCCCTGAAAGCTAAAGTGTGGATGGCCAGCACAGACCTGCCTCCAGCCCTTGCCCTGCTCACAGCCTTGCTGATTTTCCCCCCTTCCTTTCCTAGCCTTCCTTGAAATGCTCACCTCCTTGCTGATCTCAGAGGTCAGGCATGAGATCTGTCACCGACTGCTCTCGGATTGGGTGGGTTGGAGCCAGGGAGCAGAGGTGTTCATGGAGAGTGGTGCTATGAAGAGTATTTTGTCTGGAGACTGGGGTGCTACAGGGATAGGGATGAAACTGCTTTATGAGTGAGTCCCAGAGGCCATGCTAGTGCTTCCCAAGTTCCCATAACGCTCCTGGCATTGCCTTAGGATAGGCAGCTCTGCTGAGCTCAGGCCAGTTTGTGGTTCTTTGTAGGGCAGACCCAACCCCAGCATAGGGCAGGTGCTGAAATAACCTGTACTCAAAATGGGGTATTGACTGTGCTGAGTATTTGCAGCAATTCAAATACCACCAGCTGTTTTCTGCTCCAGCTGAAACAGCAGCTGCTGCAGGAGATGGATTACCATGGCACGGGGGCAAGACAGAGCATTTTTGCCTGCAGAACATTTCCAGAAGAGAGAGTTGCTCAAGGAGGAAACCCCATCTCACTCTCCCTTCCTGTGCCCAAACATTGTGTGATCTTGTCTGCATTGTAGGAGCAGCCTGCAGCAGGTACGAGGGAAATTCCTGGCCTTGGGAACAGTGTGATCTGGTCAGCCAGTCCTCCTGGTGGTGGCATCACCTGAACTGGCCCTGAGGGGCTGACTTGTGGTCCTGTGCCACTCCGAGACATCCAGGCTGTGGGTGGTGAATGGCCCTGGCCATTGGTGTATAACAATCGTGGTACAGCCAGAAAATTTACTGGAGTGTTTACACCTGGGAACATCCCCACTGTACAAACCTCTGGAGTGTCTGTTTTGGCAACAAGAATGAAGCAGATGATGGCTCACATGTCATGGCCATGTGCAGGGTTTCCCCATGCTCTGTAGGAACAGGGCTCTGCTGCCCCA